CTTCTTTCACACCTACTGACAATTATTCACAGGTATCTATCATTGCACGCTCAACGGTTGTCTCGCTTCGATGCAAAGGCAAGGCTACCTTTCAAGATGGCGCAGTTAACCGTGAAGGAGACTATTGGTCTTAATTGGCGGAAATATCTAGCCGGCCAAGCCGTGTTTCATGCATGCAGTGCATCAAAGGGGTCTTAATTTTTTGTCGGTCACCCTTTTGTTTTGTCAATCCTCATATATATATTTTCTAGAAGTGTATCTTCTTGCGATAATGTTTATGGTAATTGATCCAATTTGATTATTTTCTAGGCTTGAACCTGTGTAGAAATGAAAGCCAGATAATGTGTTACAGTTCCGTACTCCGTAAGTTGACAAAACAGTCGCTCAATTATTTAAGTATAGTTTAAAACACGATMTGGAGTGTTTTAAACGGCTTCAAAAACTCCAAAACTAATTTGAAACTCAAATCCGTTAAAATTATTGGAGAAATTGCCGTACAAATATGTTCAGAGATAAATGGGGCAAACTGATCATGCGCGAATCACTTTACAAAGCACTCTTGTCATCCCACATTGAATACGCATAAAGTAAAATAGAAGCGCTCTTGGCTGTTCACTGTAATCGTTTGACATCCTGCATTGGTMAATGATCAGGTTTCAAACCTGAGACCTTTGCTAGGGTCATGGATCCCTATATCTGATAAAGKTCACCCTTGTTAGTATTCKTCATATAAAGAATACTCTTAAGGRGTGTTTTATCAGATATAAAGGTCCATGCATGKGACCAAATAGGYTCATTCTATTGGCCTAGAAGCTCATTAATTATGTATGAGTTTTTGAACGTAGTGATAAATGATATCATTTTTTTCCAGAGGATATTCGCATAATGAACTCATTCTTGGAATGTCAAAACTCCTGTCCAACAGAATGCAGTTCCAGCGAGTTTCGTACAGTTCAGTCAACAGCATTGCTAAACACCAAGCATTTAGTTGATGATGCGAATGAATACTGCAAACACGATAACAAATCAACCAGTATTTGTCAAGAGATGACAAACATGTCAGACGCACAAAAGATACAGTATTTTAGGTATGTAGATATTCTCTATGGGTTTTATTTAAATTTTGTGTATATAAACTGAAGGAGTCTTTTTGCAGTTATGTTTCATGTGACCAAGCGCACTTTCTGAGAAAAATTATGTCCACCAGAGAAATAGCATATGTCCAAAAAAACTGACCATTGCCCCACGGATAGCTTATCCAAAAAATAATTGACAGCTGTGAGGAGCGACGTATCAAAATAGTCAATGTGGAGGTAGCGTATGTGGGTGCGAGGCTCCCCGATTAGTACGATACTCGTTGTCATTTCTTTCTTTCTTTTTTTCTCTCTTTCTCCCTTTCTTTCTCCCTTTCTTTCTTTCTTTCTTTATTTATTTATTTTAAATAGTCGTATTATGATACCTTTGCGAAGGAGTTGATCTTTACTCGCGGTGATGTCCATATTTTGTCATTATTAACGCTAAAGCTTTCTTTTTGTCAAAGAGAGAACTTGGTGTCMATAAACGTATACCTGAAAGACTTTTACTTTGAAGAGGTCAGACAGGTCCCTGTGTTTGGATGGTCTGAGCTAGTCAGTAAGTACGGCAAGCAGTGATGAACTGACATTTCTCGCTTAAAATAATTRATCCTCGGAGCGAATTGTGATGGTCAAAAATTTAGACTAACTTTTGCACGGTCACATTGTACTAAATACTCCATTTAAGCTATAGTGARGTAAAAAACGGTGTGAGCGTTTTTGGATTAAGATTTTCGTTTTGAAGTTATGGCTCAAATATCAAATTTCACATCAAGAATTCGTAATTTTAAATTCAAATGGCAATAACTTTGCAAATAAAAAAAATATCAAAAAACGCTCACACAGTTTTTAAGTTCAATATATATTGACCAANCTTTAATTTTGGCGGTTTTTACTGGCGCCTTGCGCTCAGTGGTAAATAGCGGGAAATACGAACGAAAGATCAAGTCTACGCTATTTAGTGTAAACAATGTCAGACCTTTTAAATTCCTTACAAATGTACAAGTATAAACAAAAGATCACAATATCAACTGATGATCATTGTTTAAAATACCTTAGGGAAACGTGTGTTCCAGCAAACAATATTATTTACACTATGAACATTCCAAACGACCACCTTACAAGCCACTAATGAACTCAGAGCGTGCTATCCCAATACTCGTTTGTCGATGTTTTGAACGTTTCGATTTTAGCCCAGTATTGTATAAAGATAAAGGATCGTTGCACAAGAGTAGAAAATTTGATCTTCAAAAGTGCAAACCTCAAGGGAACTTGTAGAAAGCTCTATTTTGGTGGGAAAACCCGCTGACTCGTTCCGGGTTCAAATGTCCGGAATTTCTGGCCATGATGCTAAGGTACTATATTTAATGAAGCCAAGATATGTTTTTTTTATGGAGGCACCCCGCGAAGGGGAGCAGTAACCTTAACTATAGGGCATAGCATGTTCTGCACGTGAGATTGCAACAGTACAGCAGGCTATATCTATTTATCTACTTGTAGTTGTAATCTCCAAAACTAGCGCGCTAGTGACCTAAAAGGGTCTATATTACCTCGTAATGCTCGTTATCCACCTTTTACTACTGCTTTATTGCGAATTATAAAATGTTTGATATATAACGCGCACTCTGATTGGTTGACTACCGTGTTTCACTGGAAAAAAATCGCGCGCTTTAAAGGTTGTAAATTTATGTAAATATGATGTAAGTGTCCTAAATTCTGTAAATTTAATGGAAATCATTTACATAAAATTTACAAAATTTAGGACACTTACATCATATTTACAACCTTTAAAGTGTTTGTATCAGAGGACATTGACACGCCTTACTATATTAAAACGGCCGCTTGTCTCTCTGTTCTCTGATATAAACACGGTGGTCGTTGAAAATCACGAGAGAAGAAAGGTTAGAAACACGAGCGTAGCGAGTGTTTTTCTTGCTTCTCGAGTGCTTTTTAACTCCCACCGTGTTTATATCAGAGGACAGAGACACACACGCCGTTTTATATCTCTTATTAAGAAATATAAAACGGC